TCAAATTATCACTGTACCATTTTGGAAACGATGCAAATGAGAAGAACAAACGAATGCGTTCCGTTAGCATGGAATGTACGAAATGCAAAGCGGTTAACATAGTTGGAAACAAGAAGAGTGATGACATCGGTCATCAGCATTTCATACAAGCAATATTGTTTTTTTTTCAACAACCTGATCTCGACATCTTTTTTTCAACAAGAATGATTATAATTAACGATTGGGCAAAACAAGAAGAAAAAATCTTGTTTAGTACGATGCTTGCAAAATTCTGGTAACTACCATGTGATTTATGTACAATAACGTGGCGAGAGAGCAAACGAAGAACGCGCACGTCATTGCCGGGCCAGTTAAAATGAATTGAACAATACACGATTCATCTGAATGATAACATACTTTCTTCACGTGAGCCGTAAGCAAGCATACAGCACCGAAACACTGCGTGTGTCGCAATGAAAACATCGCCTATTTATGCGATTACTGTGCATAAGTCGGATTGTAACGGTGATTTCCCTTCTTTCAACACGCAAAACATCGGCCCAATATAATAGCTGGCCATCATAATTCAATGGAGGAGAAACAATCGTAATTGAAGTAATCAGAATTTTTCGAAGCGATGCGAAGATGAGAAGAAGGTGCGAAAAATAAACAATTCAAATCTCTGAATTGGGGTACAATAAACGGCTTTGACCTGCCGCACATTCGATCGGTCGTTCTCATTGTATATTTTCTTTTCTTCTATTTATTCAAATGATCACAACCAATCATTATGAACTGCGTACGCAAACCGACAATCGATTAATTCAATGACTCCCGTTCGCTATGTATTGAACGTGTGAAGCATTTCTTTTTTTTCGATTTAAATACTCATGTGTTAAGAGTGTATCTTTCTCTTATTTTCTGCTAATCAAATAACGTCTCTCTAAGGTTTTTCACCTTCAAATCATCATTTAATAAGTTAAACATTAGGCTAGTGAAGAAAATGCGAAACGTTCGAAAGTCTTTTAGTTGATGAGTTTTTGGTTTATTTCTTGGTGTTTCCCATATTGGATAACGTTCGAATGATTACAACGATTGCTGAATCAAACTTTGGAAATGTCATTATATTGATGATATGTCATTTGACCAAATTCGAATGAAAGTTTCTTCCTTTTTCGGAGCGACAATTATTTTAGCCGGAATGAATTAGTCACTAGTGGGTTTGTTGCTCACCAAAGTATGGATATAAGTAACTAATAAAAAAAACAGTGCCGACAGACACACTTTTTCTAGTGTCCAGTTACGTACGAACTCAGAAGATTGAACTTCTCTTTATATAACTGCTACCATTTCGGACTGTAATTCAGTAGAAGAGGCGACGTTTGAATGATGGCTGAAAAAAAAGAAGCAAATCGACATTTAATCGAATCAATGCAAAGCAAAAAAAATCGTTTAGCAAAAACGTTTCGCGACGACACATCCATCACATTTTAAAAAACGAGCCACTTCAATCGTCTACCAATCGACCAATTCATTGGATCGTTTATGTATGAAATATTGTTTTAGCGATTTGCTAATAATTGAATTCGATTTCGATCGATAGCTTCTTGCGAGTTTGTCTCAAATGCATGAGGCTACATCAATCTAATCACTAAGTAGCAATTATGCAATTTGAAAAATTATCGACGAGTGCCAACTTTGGCAATTGCAAACGATTTCATTAAACCCATTAAGTTGATTGAGTGGCAATTGCGAAAAGTGGAAAAATTGAGAGAATATTGATTTTTTCCCCTTCAAAAAATTACTATCATCATTCAAGGAATTGTAATTATCAGTTTAACAAAATGTCATTTTTTGGCGTGAGACTTATTTCGTTTTAAATTTGATGCCAATTTCGTCGAAATGAGAATTTAACGAGATGGATTGTGTAAGTAAGACATTGAAATAGGCTATGGTTTCCATTTGGTATTGTTTGCCACGCGCATACAGCTGATACTCATTTTGTGGGACCAATTAATTGTTCTAGCAGCCGTCGAACGCATGACAAAATCAAATGTCTAATTATTATTGTTTTTTTTCCAAACTTCACATTTTCATTCGCAAGTTTGAAAGAATCGGTTCCAAATTTCATAGACATATAATTTGTTTGAGCCTAAATTTAGACGGTTCGGTTCGAAAATGTGTTGTTTGTTTGTGAATAATTATACGGATCTCGCACTTTAGCACTTTGCGGTCGCTGTGTGGCTAGGTAACATGACGCGATCTAGTGACTTGGTTCGTTTACGTTTAACACATTCGATCGGTTCAGTCAAGAACACCTTGAAACGTTCGCGCTTTTTTCTTCATCCGAATCACATTCGAAGCATTGCCTTATTTTCCATTAAACTCTGTATACTTTGCGATGCTGTGCATGCAAACTGTTTTCAAGTACTTCGTTGAGTTCAAACTTCAAAGTGTTACATAAGAGTGACGACTCGCGGCACATTCTCATTTACCCTTTACTTGATGGTTTGCGTCGTGTGTCATTTTTATTCCACTGATCTCGTGTGTTCGTGTGTTTGAACATCGATCTTAGCGATTTCGGTCCGCAAATAGAGCTGTGCACACACGCACTGGTAGAGCAGACTAAGTCAATACAGTCATTTGTTTCCCAGTGCGAGAGAGTGAGACTTTCAAGGTAAATTCAAAAATTAAATTTAATCGTTTGCCGATTCGATCGCGGTTTCAATTCTGTTTTGTCTGGTTGAGTGCGTGCTGGCGAAAACACTAATTTCGACCTGCATGAGATTCATTTTCCTTACATTTGTATCAATTACATTGGACGATGATTGGTGAGAGTTTCGATTTCGATTCACAGGTGAATTTATTAGAAAGAAAACATTCAATGATGAGCGAGGCCGAAGATGAGCCGCTGAATGAAAAAAATAAGTTTCCAATTGGGAATGTATTAGCGGTAATAATTATTATGATAATGATGATGATGCTGCAGCTGCTGTTGTGGCGACAATAGCCGATGATTTTCTTTTTGAATCACAATTAAAGAATGGAATATATAATTTGGGAATGTGTCAGAAGAAAGCCCATAATCAACTAAAGAGATTTCTTTTCACTCGCTGCCTGAAGCTTCTTATGCAAATTTGCAACGCTATCTCCAGAGAAAGATGTACATTTATATCGAATTATATGGTAACAGATGAGAATTTTAGCGGCGCCTTTGTTTCGTCATTAATTTCTGCGAAAAACTTTAATAACGAATAATTGCGCAAAATGGTATTTTCACTGCATTTTAATGGAAATAATAGCATTAATTCGGCGGCTTAAAATATTCCGATGGGAACATCACCTCAATATATGAGTTTCAAACACTTGTAATGATTACATCTATGGGTGAGATTGAGAGTAGTGTATGTTTGATTGACTTTGTTACGAAAGAGAAGAGCAAGTTTCTGTCGACTTAAAAATGGTTAAAAGCGAGTATATTCGTTTTAGCGGGTCCTCGCGGTTTTTCACGGTTTCCGCGGAACTGATAAGAGATAACAACTTGCTGTCTTCGGCAAAGTTGTAGCGCTTGAGATCTTCTATAACATCGCTGAAGACAGTTATCTCTTATCTCTTATCAGTTCCGCGAAAAGCGCGAAAAATGATAAGAAAAAAAAAGTTCTATATAAAAATTGCTTTTTTATGTGCGCGATTTGCGCGCAACTGATAAGAGATACGAGATAACTGTCTTCAGCTTAGTTATAGAAGACCTCAAGTTCTACAACTTTGCCGAAGACACCATGTTGTTATCTTTTATCAGTTGCGCGAAAACCATGAAGACCGCGGAGGCTAGACGGTACTACAACATACTCTACTTTAACGCCAACAGAATCATCAGAAAACATACTCGCCTTTTCAAAAATATAAATCGAAGAAAAAACATACTCCACTCTCAATCTCACCCATAGACATTCTCGGTTTTTTTTTCGGAATGTTCACCTCATTAATAAATACCACAACGGATTTTATTGCTAGTGAAATATAAAAGGAGCTCATTTTTTATTCAGCCGTCACAAAATCTGATACAAATTTTTTTTGTGTTGCTTCGCTCTCACGTTGGTTTGTCAAGTATGTGGTTTACCGAAAACAAATGGACACAGATCGGCGCGGATAAGCAATTTATTAGATGCTTTGAAAATTTATTCGTCATTTGATGGACTTATGTATATATACGAAAGCTACGGGCATTTTCTGAATAAGGGAAAAACTCAATAACGAATTAAATATCATGCACAAGCGAACCGCACAAATTGAAATGGGCTTGATACACAATCTGGGATTGTTTTAAAGTGATCAGTTGTCCGTAACCAGTTGTCGGCAACGCAATGGAAAACATCTTGAAACAATTCACTTGTCGTATGGTGATTAAGTATTACGATCGGAACGATTCGATTTCGTAAATGAAAAACAAAAATCGTTGAACCGATTTAAATTCAACTTTGTCTCGAATGTCTGAACATAAAACTCTTTGCAATCGTTGCCAATTTAATAAGTTCAACGAATTGAGTCGGCTGCATATTGAATGAAGCATTTCTTGCTTTGAAATTGTAATAATAATAATGTTTTTCCAACAGTTTTTGTACGATATGTTGCTGTTTTTTTGCTGCAAAAGAGAGAGAATTTGCATAATAGGCGACGGAATCGATATTGTTGGTTTTTGCTTTCTTTCCGCGTGTTATTTTGAGTTGGCCGGTGTGTTGTCAGTGCGTTATTTATTCACCAGCACCAATGCGGGGCACATATATGCTGATTTATTTCGATTGAAAGCGATTCGATTTGAACGATTGAATCGATAAATTATGGACACTCTTTGGTCTTCATTTCAATGAATTGCGCTCGCGTTTTGTTTATAGTTTATACTCTACGTTTCAATTGACAGAGCACTTGAGAGATACTCACTCTCTTTAAATGAATTGGTCTCTATTTGATTTTGGAATATCATTTACGAACAGCATTTTTCTTTTCTTTTCTTTTCATTGCAGTATGTGGTCAACCGTCCGTGCCGTTGAATGCAAAAGTAAAAACAAGTGTTTCCGGTCAATCGGGCATATCAGAAGCGCATTACGAATGCGATTCGGGATATGAATTATTCGGTCCAAGCGTCACGAAATGCGATCCAAAGCGCGGATGGGAAAAAGATCTTCCATTCTGTGGTAAGTACTCGATCTGCCTCTCGATTTCCATGCAGATTTTATAATCTATTCAAACCATATGCAAATATTTACATTTTACGAACCAGCAAATGCCTCATTCACAAAGTTTGGGAAAGTGGATGCAATACCCGATTCGATGATAATATCATCATAATTTGTCTGAGAAAAGAAAGCAGGCTTCAAAATGAAGACTTCACCTTTTTTTTCCGTCGAACTTTGTTTTTTCGTTCTCATGCTGAAAATGATGCAAATTCAGACATTTTAAGTGAAATTGACTTTTTTTCTTGGTTTCACATCTTTTTTTTACTGTGGAAATTGAACAAACGCTAAAATATTTGCTTTAAAAAAAATCTCGGTTCCCTTTCCATAGTAATTAAAATAATGTGGCTAATAACGTGATTGCTGGTTTTCGGCAGCACAAATTTCCATGCTGAAAATTAGTAATTTGCTGGAAAATGACGGAATCTCATCTCATCTCCTCCTGTGCGGTAAAATGTCAGGGAAAAACTGATGCCGTATGTGGCATTTATTCAAACACTTTATTCAGCAGATGTAACTTTTACTATACTTTTTATACGTGCATGGTTCCAGCCGTGCCGTGCGACGACAACCATCGTGTGGCCATAATGTTATGAGTCGCAAAAATCACATAATTTGTGAATCTGCCTCTCTCTCTTTCCCTCGGCATGTGCGTGTGTGTGTGAAAATGTTGTATTTTAATGTGATTTTTTCCTCGCATTTTGCATATTCATTTAATGGGTTGTGTTGTGAGAGTTGCATCTCAACGATCACGTTATTCGCTCGGTGCGCGCGCGCGTCGTATTTACTCATATTATCATAATATAGCTCACAACGAATAATTAAATAATATTACGGAAGAATATTGTTTTCATTCGACATAATCGTCGTTTTTTGTGTTTTGCTGCTGTTTTTGGTTGCGTGTGAATGTGATTTTTGTGTGTAGTAGTACTCAGCGTACATGGGAGAGAGATGAAAAAGTCGGCGAAAGGTGTAACAATGGTGTATTGCTTAAAAAATTTGATGATAAAATTACGCAATTTAATTCAATTTCGCTGGCAGATGATTTATGCGGGCTTCTTCTCTCTCGTTAAATGTATGTTTTTGGTGTTGTTAATTAAAATCATTTCTCGTTTGGTTGTTAGGTACAAATGTGGCATACCGAAAGCCGGTAAATCAGTCGTCTTCAACGAGAGCAGGACCGGCGGGCTTGGCCAACGATGGGAAATTGGGCAACGAAAATCCCGATGAACAAAAGTGCTCCGAGACACAGAAAGAGATATCGCCTTGGTGGCGTGTTGATTTGTTGGCCCCACAAACGGTTCGCGTTGTGAGAATTACCACACGAGGCTGTTGTGGCTTTCCACCGCTTCAAGATTTGGAGATTCGAGTCGGAAACAGCAGTTTTGATCTGCAAAGGAATCCACTATGTGCATGGTACCCAGGAACAGTTGGTATGTAATAAACTCAATGCTTTTAATTACCTTTTATTTGGAAATAAAAAATTCCACATTATCATAAATTGTACCAGTTTTTTAAGCCATAAAAAAAACCTTCAGAACACACCATTTTTCCGTTCTTGTTTAATTGTATGCGCGATTGATCTTATTGTTTCGTTGTGTGTTTATTTTTGCGTATTTCTCTCTCGTTTTCAGATGAAGGCACATCGAAAACATTTACATGTGCACGACCTTTGGTCGGCCAATTCGTTGCTATTCAATTAGTCGGCGTTGAAGGTAGCCTCAGTTTGTGCGAAGTCGAAGTATTTTCGAATGATGGTAAGCAATTTGAACCTACTACCTCAACCATTTAGCAGTTTTTGTTTATTCATTCCGATAATTTGTTAAAAATTTGTTCCCGTCCTTTTCCATGCGACTCACAGAATTCTCGCCGGAACGCTGTGCTGCTCCAAATTTAAATGCGGACACGGTTTTGCAAACATTCGACCGTACTTGCTACGAGTTCCACGTCACACGCGGCGAGAGCTTTGACAAGGCACAACAAATCTGTAAATCGCACGGTAAATATGTTTTTAACTGTCTGTTTGTTCGCACCCGTGTGTCCAATTTTCACAAAGAAAAAGTGACATTTTGTCACCCATTCAAGCAGTTTGTTTGCTCGAATTATTTTTTTTAAATGCTTCGAGCATAACAATGCAAAATACCATTTTATGCATGATAATTCACGAAAATAAAGCTATTTACACGAGAAAGCCCAGCAAACAAAGTGAGAGATTAATCTTAATTGCGATCACTCTATAAATTAAATTCGTTCTGCTAAATTAAATTGGGGTGATCTATGATCCATTTTTAACGGATGGCGAACAGCAACGGAGTATTTAAAGAAAAAAATAATTTACGGCTTCTTAATCTCTCAACCGGTATAGTGTTCAAGTCGAGTAATTTCAGTGTATTTCGCTAATCACTCTTGATACTGTTGGCGTTTAGGTGGAGATTTGATTCATGATTTCCGTGGAGCGACCAAAGACTATATTTTATCGGAGCTGGAGAGACGTAAAACAGAGTTGCGCACGCAGCTAGTTTGGATTGGTGCGCAAAAAGAGCCAGGCTATACATCACGTACTTGGAAATGGGTCAACGGTAATTATCCAAATTCGATGACTTTGACAATTGACAGATTTTACCGATTATGATAAACCATGAAAGTCGAAAATAAAAAAGCGTCCGTAGAAAAACCAACAAGATTCACGCCGAATGTGAATCAAAATGTGGAGGTCATCACCGACGTTTGTCATTGCACAGTCATTAAATTAATCAAATTGAAATTGAACACGCTTAAGGAAAAAACACATTGCTCGGCAGGCGAGCGCGACTGCACAAAACATAAAATAGAAAAATAATGAATGTGTGAGAAAAATCGATGAATGCTGTGAAAATTATTGCACATAACATATTATTGTTATTAAAGACGAGTGTTATTTTTTATTTTCATTTCTGGGCTTCTGTCTGGAAACGGTTACCGTAGACCGTTAAATGCATAGAATATACATCGTATACTACATCGTCGACGACGTAACCGATTGAACGTGTCATTAATTATTGCTAATATCTGCTTTTGCTCCTTAAATACAATATTTTTTCTTTGCTCATTGTTATGGTATTCGCAGTGTGAATATTATGTGCACGTTCTATGGGCTTGTTTCGAAATGCCTGCTGCATGAGAAAAATAGAAAACCGTAAAATGTAAAATGTAGGCAAATGATTGTTATCAGTCCTTTTGTTTGCGTGTTTGTTTCTTATTTTGTTTCTTCTTTCTAACTAAATCTAATCACAATCTGTCATGTTGTATGGAAAAATTCCCTTTTATGGTTTTGCATATTCGACGCGAAACAAAAATGCCTGTTATAAAATGCAATGTGATCTCTGTTTATGTTAAACAGGTGATATTGTATTGAAGCCTGCATGGGGCCGTGATCAACCGAACAATTACAACGGCGAACAAAATTGCGTTGTCTTAGACGGCGGAAGAAATTGGCTTTGGAACGACGTTGGCTGCAATCTTGACTATTTACACTTCATTTGTCAACATGGTGAGACTATAATTACAACACTAATTACTTACCTTGAGGCCAATTTTCGACTTATTCATTCAATTCACTTTCAGAACCTTTGTCATGCGGTTCACCTGATTCACTGCAAAACACTACCGTCTCGGGTCGAAATTTCACAAATGGTGCCAATATATCATACTCGTGCCCGATTGGTCACGCTCTCATCGGCAATGGAACGCGTAAATGTGACAATGGTGTTTGGAGTGGAAAAGCACCGACTTGTAAATGTAAGTGGAAATCGAATGTGTTTTCTTGTGGAAAGTGAAAAATGTAAATCATATTTCAATTTATAGACATTGACTGTGGAGAATTGCCGGCACTTGAGCATGGAGCGATCATTTTACCGGAACACAGAACATCATATGGTGCTCAAGCAATGTACACATGCCACGAAAATTACACTTTGATTGGCAATGAGAATCGCACGTGTGGCATCGACGGGTGGTCTGGTAAACAGCCGCAATGTTTGGTCGACTGGTGCCCAGATCCTGTGCAAATCGCCGGCGGTCAAGTCGAAATGAGTGGCAAACGAGCGGGAGCAACAGCAGTCTATAAATGCGATCCAGGATATGTACTCATTGGTGATCCGGTAAGGAGGATATTCTTCCATATATTCCTTCTATTTTTTTATATTTCTGTTTGATTTTGGAAGATTTTTTCATAAGACAGACTTTCATTTGAAAGAGCATTTTTTAACGAAACGTTTTAAATCGAATTTTCAGATCATAACATGTGGACTAGGAGGAGAATGGAGCGGAAAAGCACCAATTTGTCGATATGTCGACTGTGGCACTCCAGTTAGACCGGATCGAGGTAGCATTCAATTGGTCAATGGGACAACGACTGTTGGATCGATAGTTAAATATCAGGTTTGTTCAACTCTTGATTTTGTGTTGAATTGTAGGAAAAAACTAACAGGATTGATTACAGTGTGATGACGACTATTGGCTGGTCGGCAACGGCGAATTGCGCTGCACAAAAGACGGTAAATGGAGTGATGATGCACCAGCTTGTGAATGTAAGTCAAAGATGCGTTTTTTTCTATTTTGTAACTTTTATTTCATTGCTCACAATCATATAAAATTTCTATTGAAAAAATGATTGTTTTCAAGCTCTTTGAAATGAACCTACTCATCCCGATCTTTCATGTATTTAATTTTTTGTTCATTATCTCTTCAGTGATTACTTGTGAAGCGCCAAATCTACCACCGGGTTCATATGTCGTTGGCTATGATTATAACATTCACTCTACCATCGAATATCACTGTGATGCTGGCCACAAGTTACGTGGCGAGCCTCAATTGAAGTGTACAGAAACTGGTGAATGGAGTGGAGAGGCACCAGTTTGTGAATATATCGACTGCGGCCCAGTACAACCAGTCCCATACGGGTCGTTCAAATACATTCAAAATACAACGTATATCGGATCAGAGGTTGTGTACTCTTGCATCAATTCGCATCGATTGCAGGGCGTCGAAAAAAGACGTTGTTTGGATGGAGCTGCGTGGAGTGATGAAACACCAAGATGTGAAGAAATTCGATGCTCTGAACCTGTCATTGCAGCGCACAGCATTCTGTCAGTCACTGGAAATGACCGAATGTACGGCAGAACTTTGATTCGAACCGCTGAAAACAATCCGAAAAAGAGCGTTCAAACCTACAAGTAAGCATTTCAATGGAAATATAATTTTCGAGATTTCATTTGAGTAAAATGAAGTTTGGTAATTTCACTGCTCAATATCACAAAAATTAATTTCATCTTATCTTTTCTACTAATAGAATCGGGGCTCTCGCAAAATATCGCTGTGAGCGTGGATACAAAATCATTGGTGAACCATTGGTCACTTGTGAAGAGAATGGAGTGTGGAGTGGACAAGTTCCGGAATGTATTTGTGAGTACTCATAGGAAATATTTCTTAAAACTTGTGAAGTTGAAAATGTAGTTCGATTCAAACCAATTCAATTGTTGCTATTTTCTACTCCAGATGTCGATTGCGAGCAACCTGGTGAAATAAAGAATGGAAAGGTGATTTTAACTCAAAATGCCACTTACTATGGATCAACCATTCTGTACGAATGTGACGAAAACTTCAAGTTGGATGGGGTTTCACGTCGCCTGTGCTTGGAAAATGGAACTTGGGGTCATGAAGCTCCATCTTGTGTGGAGATCACTTGCGATGATCCAGACGTGGTTGAAAATGTTGTAGTCAATGCTGACATTCGAACCGTTGGCTCAATCGCGAAATTCTCTTGTCCAAAAGGCCATTATTTGGTTGGCAATGACACACGTACCTGTCTGAAGAATGGTCGTTGGGCAGGCAAATCGCCGATTTGTAAGGCCGTTGACTGTGATCGACCGAATACAATCGAAAATGGTCGTATCATCGTTGTTAATGACTCAACCATCTATGGAGGCTCCGTTGAATATCATTGCATACCGAACTTCCAGCGAATCGGTCCATATCTTCGAAAATGCATGGACGATGCCAAATGGAGCGGTGAAGAGCCACGATGTGAATTGGCAGCCAGTGACTCCCAAGATGGTTCCGGTCTTGGAACTGGTATCGCAATCGGAGTCGTTATCATTGTAATCTTACTAATTTTAATCGCTTTGGTGGTTTTGCATCGCAACAAAGCGCGACCGGTTAAAAATACGGAAAATGTCCAGGCTGCCGAACGGAAAGAAGATCAAAATGCTGCTGTGATGTCTTATTCAAGCCTAGAAACTAACCGACAAAATTTGGATAATTTATATCAAAATCAAGCTACGTTCAACACATTTCATCCGCCCCATTTGAATAACGCCAATAATCGATCGACTGGTGAGTTTAATTGTGTTCATGATTGTTGAGTGGAACTTTAAATTTTTCTATCATTTCAGAAAATATCTATGATCAAATACCAGCAGAGCCCTACTATGATGCTCCTTATGAGATGCAGACGAACGAAGATGTTTACGAACCAGAACCTTTGCCACCGCCACCACCATCGCAAACAACGGCCACGGTCACAATAAACGGAATGGCAATACGATAAAGCGAATCCACTGCAACAACTATGTCTGCCTCTCCTAAGTTCGAATACAATTTAGTGAATTTTAACACTTTTTAGCGCACTCTATGACAATAAATGTTTTATGCCAACCATTGCGATATGATAATTGTGAGAAATGACTGTCTTTTTGTTAGTCGATTACGTTAAGAAAGTAATTTAATCGTAGTGGAAATAAACTGCATATCTAGTTAGTAAGCGATTCAGTCATTTTAATTAATGTAAAATAGCAAATGCTTCAATTATGCACCTACATACAGGCCAATTGTGCCCCGCTAGAAAGAAAAGAAACGTGTCGATTTTATTTAAATTGTATCCGATGACAAAACAGTTGAAGATCTTTTATGAATGTTTTATCTTAAGAATTTTAAACTAATTATTTTATTTGTAAATAAACATAAACTCTCTTGGAAACATGGAAAGACTATGGGTTTTATTTTGTTTTTAGACCGAATGAATGCTTAGAACTTTTGCCATGAAGGTGGGAATTAATTTTATGTTATGACACATCCATGCTTTTGGTCATTTGAACTAATAATAGATTTGAGGAAAGTGCTTCACCCAAACAGTGGATAATTCGCTTAGCTAACATAAATAATCTTATGTATGATTTTTAATCTTTAATCCGTTCGAACTTATTGTAGTTTTCACAAAAATACATCATTTCAAACCTATTCTACTAACCAATTTCATAGCTAAATTGTGCATGCCGTTTCATTTTTCAAATTTTCAGTTAATAAGAATATTCAGTTGGCAATGCTGTTATGAAGGTATTCGCATCGGGCAACATCTGTCATACGTTCGTTGCGTCTCGCTTCAGTCACCACCGTCTGTTCTGCTTACTCTTCCACAAAGAGGCCGCGACAAAACAATGAAACATCACAGCTTATGGTAAACGGCAAACGTCTTTAGTGAACGAACAACAGTTTAAGGTGTAGCAATTCCAGAACTTGATCTGTCATTTTGCAATTGCATTTAAAAGAATTTTTTTTTTCAATTTTTGATCAATTTTCGCATTTCGTTCGCGAAAACGTTTTTGTTTCAATATTTCCGTTATTTTTTTTATAAAAAAAGGTGAGTAATGTGTGGGTATAAAATGAATCATAAAGCAAACTGAGTGTAAAGATGGAGTGAAGATTCTATGAAAGTGACGTCACAATATCGTTTCGAGTATTTTTGCAAATTTTTCGCTTTAAACCAAGAAATTATCACATCAAAAGCAGAAAATGTTGCACAAAAAATGCATTTTTTCATATTTAATAGTTGAATTCCATGTTGGGCGATGTTTGAAGTGCATTGAAATTTTGCTGATGTCGAATAATGTTGTGTATGTGTGTATTGTTTGCGGTTGAACAAGGCATTTGTGTGTTCGACAGCGTCGACAAATCACACAAACAAATCTGTTGGTCTACTTTTTGGAATTGAATTGAAATGTAAAAGAAAAAAAAAAATGAGCGCATAAATTCGCACCATTTTTGGTAATGAATTGGCAAAGACACACATGTAATTATTGTTGTACACATTTAGAATTGATTTGTTGATTACGGACAGATTTATGGCCAATATGCACAATACCAACCAGTTTGTGCACAAAAACAGAGCAACAACATAAAACAAAAAAAAATGTTTTCATTGTGAGTGAGTCACAGCGATTAAGTACCCGGATTTCTTTTTCCCACTACTAATATGACAACCAAATGACACACGCACATTGACATATTTGGCATAGTTTATAGCAGCTGCGTGAATTTTAACCAAAACTGAACTAATTAGAGGTATTTTTTGACTTTTGTTTTATTTCAGAAAAGATGTCATCACGTAAAACAGCCGGTCGTCGTGCAACAACAAAAAAGCGTGCACAACGCGCTACTTCGAATGTTTTTGCTATGTTCGATCAAGCCCAAATTGCCGAATTCAAGGAAGCATTCAACATGATCGATCAAAACCGTGATGGTTTCGTTGAGAAGGAGGACTTACATGATATGCTCGCATCGCTTGGAAAGAACCCAAGTGACGACTATTTGGATGCCATGATGAATGAAGCTCCTGGGCCAATCAACTTCACCATGTTTTTGACCTTGTTCGGTGAACGCTTACAAGGCACCGATCCCGAAGATGTTATCAAGAATGCGTTCGGCTGTTTCGATGAAGAGAACTTGGGACTCATGCCAGAAGAACGTTTGCGTGAACTTTTGACCACGATGGGGGATCGCTTCACAGACGAAGACGTCGATGAAATGTACCGTGAGGCGCCGATCAAGAACGGTCTCTTCGATTACATAGAATTCACTAGAATCTTGAAACATGGCGCAAAAGACAAAGATGAGCAATAAATAAAGACCAAAACCGATTCAATGCACGTATATATGCACAATCAATTCCAATAATTATGTTTCAGAGCCTGAGCCTCTTAGGCTTTCAGCGATTTTGATTTTTTTTTTTTAAATATTAGATTATCATATGCAAAATCCATAATTTCTCTAATTTCAATTCCAAAAGAAAATCATCTAATATTCGTTATTTGCGATTATCTAATAAACCATTTGTATTGAACAATAAAGATATATTTCTTATTATTGATTAACCAAAAACCAAGCCTTTTGCTACGACATATTATTCATAACATGTCCATTTGCAGCGAATTCGGTTGAATTAAATCTCAGAGAAATCAAAACCCATCTTTGAACTATTTAACACAAATATAAATATAGTTTCCTGTCAGGTTTGGAAATATATACCACATTTAATGCGCTATATATTGCAATAGATTTACATGCTATCTTGACGCATAGAAACATGAATTCGATTTTTATTGAAGGATCTCCGGAATATTTATTTGCTAACGAATTTCCGAATTCAACTAGCAAAGAATAAAATGACTAAACAATCTTAACATCTACAATTCCACATTATACGTTCTATAAGATAATCGAATCCATGTGAATTATGCCCATTTTAGTTTTTTATTACATTTTTCTTTCAGATTTACTTGATGAACCAGAAAAATAAACTATTTTAAAAATGCGTTCAATGCAATTAAGTTTCATTTTTACATACTCAACACCGAATGTTCTTCTTTTGGAGATGCAGCTTTCGTTGAAAAATCACAGATATTTAGATTGATATCAATTCTGCTATAAATTCGAGAATTATCAGCCATTAGTATTGAATTGAAAATAAAATAATTGTATTTATTGAACGTATATCATTTTTACAGCATTATTTTGAGTCAATTCGACCATTTAATACGCTGCAAACCTCGCAAGTGGCCATAACTACGATTATTTGTTTGTACATCATATTTTCTTTTTTTTTCCAAGACTTTTCATAAAAAAATCGCATCGTTCTACATTATATGCGACGCATATTTTGCAGCTGAACTATTTGGACTGCATTGTGAAGATGCTTTTTAAAGGATTTTATAAATATTCAAGATCATTGACTGCGTCAGTCTATGTTTTTTCATCATTCAAATGATAAAATGTGTAAATACTATTAACATTTGGTTGAAATAACAATAAAACTGCAAAAATGGGAAAATATTAATGAATTGAAAATTGCATACCATAGCAGTGAAAGTCGATGGCTGTGATGTTTCTTCGGTGATTAGTGTAATCGAGTTTTCATTTGTAATCTGAACAATTTCTGAAAAACTTCGAAATATATTATGACAAATTTGACTTATGATATTGCGTTAATCCGAAAAAGTATACATTTTATTGAAAAAATGCAAGGAAATTTAACCATTTTGGTTTTTAAAATTAAATTAACTTCAAACAAAGCATAAATTTGATTTTCACATTGTGCAATTTCTTTTCAACTCATTCAATACCGATTTTACTTTTCCGTACACACTGTGTCAAGGGAAAGTATAGGAATTGGTCTCGAAAACTTTTTTCGCAAAATTGGTTTAGATCATCATAAAAACTCATGAAACGCGTAGAAAACACATTTTTGAGACACTTTTCCGTTCGTGTGCCGTCGTCGTTGTCTTCGTTGGTGTTTGTTAACACGATAACTCAAAAAATAATTGAGATAATCAAAATCTGGAAATGCCAAAAATTTTGTATCCGAAAAAAAGTTCAAAGATGAGCCATTTTCAATTTGACCCTGGGATACTTGCCCTAAGAAAAAATCTTAAAAAATTGACACTCTTGTATGGGAGGTACCTCTTTCTGGGGTTTCATTTTTTTGGGGGAAAAAAAGATTCTGAAAGTTTGAAGCCAATCGGAATCGATTTACGGGTACCTCTCATACAAAATTGTTGAAATTTTTAACTAAAGTGACCGATTTTTCACTTGAAAATTTCCTTAAAAAAATAACCAAAAGTGCGGACAACGCAGGACAACGGTACGAAAAAGTTCGGAATTACGAATGTAATTCTTTTTATTTCATATTGTAGGGGGATTAAGTATGGATTTTAAAATAATTGTGTAATTTTTCAATTGAATAAATCCCCTAGCAATTGCAGATGATTTCACTTTTTATGAAAACAAAGACCAATTCTTCTTGCAATTATCAACAAACAGAGTAGCTGAAACGAAAATATGAGCATAGAAACCTTAATTACGAGCGGCTTTGGTGGCGAGCTGTTTACGTGGTGCTTTTCCACCAGTTGATTTACGAGCGGTTTGCTT